AAAAGGTGTAAATCCACGGTCAGTGTGAACAATGAGACTTCCTCTTTAAGGACCTCCGTCCGCTCTGGGGTGAGGGGCCTTGCAAGGAACGAGCGGATGTGGTTCTGAACCTGTTGGGTCCACCTGAACCCCGCAAATCGCGTAACGGCCTCTCCTCCTCTCCCTAGTCCTCCCCTGTGCCTTAAGACCTCGCGGGGGCCCTTCTATACACCCAGGTCTAAACAGTCTCTACATTTATGTAGGGAAGATGAAAATGTAAGGTTATAAATAAAGGAACTTGACTTTTTACATATTATAGTAAGGTCCAGGAGGGTTGGAATTGAGACGTCGGACCTCTCGTTAAACTCTGTCAAGGTCGTAATAACTTCACGACCCCCGGAAGTCACCAGGGACCCAGGTTTCCGTCAATGGAGGTTACCTACATTGGTTGTAAGTTACAACGTCTGGGAACGGTTGTTTAGTAGGTCCCGTCCTACGGTTGTCAATAGGTTCTCACCTGGAGGATGTTTCGTCGTTAAAAGACTTTCCTTGCAAATTTCCAAACCATTTTGAATTAATTATACTTGACTGCCATACTTTAACGAAACAAAACTGTAAATATTTTACAAGTATATAGACATATGAGTACACGGGACGGAAACCGGATTAGAGACTTCCTGTTCTGTGTTCGACCTCTAGTTACGTCGAGGACCGGTCAACCTTCTTCCTGCTTACCCGTCTTTTATATGTCACATTTCTGGCCCGTTTTTCACCCCCTTCTGACAATTAGTATCATAGAGAAACGCAGATATGATGACCGGGAATGCATCAGGATCCAAACGGAAGAACTTCGACACTTTGGTACGCGTCACTCAGACAGACACACCTGCTCCTGGCCCCCCTCAGAGGAGCAAGAAGACAACAATATAATAGGATGGATAATGCAAATAACTGGGAGCATCAAATGCATTTCTTTGTAATCTACCTGCTCCTTTATGTGGAGAAAGTTCACATCAGCTCTCTGAAACACCTTGGACAGCATTGCAATGTGGGGCAGCACATCTGCCTGAAGGTAGAGGGCAGCCACAAAGCGGTATGTGGCACAGAAGGTGTATAGACCTTTGGCCACTGGGCACTTCCTTGTGCTCGCTTCTTCCGCCAGAGCAGCCAGCACAGCTGGAAGGTTCCTCTGGAGGTTTTGAACGGCTAGGTGCTGCGATAGCCACCTTGTATCTTTCACCTCCTAACAACAAGTAGAAACACTGGTAAGTAAAATATATGTAAATAATATGACACCACAATAGTATTATGAAAATAGGTGAAAACACACCTTGACTTTCAAGTCGTTCAGACCAAGAGTGGTAGCGGCAGCACTCAGTGTGGCTGACCTATTTGCACTATTTCGGAAGAATAGGTGCAGTTCCTGCAGGTGGTTCCTGAAGTTTGCCATATACCTGACAGCATTTGAGGCATCTTTGCATGCCAGTGCTAGTCTGTGAGCAGCACACGCTACAGAAACCAGCTTTGGAAAACTGTCTGTGAGCTGCTTTGCCACTCCATTCAGACGGCCTAAGTTTAAGAATTAAATGCAGTGGTGAGGGCGTCATTTTGTTTCCTTTAATAACAGCTGACAATTAGGCTTGGGCGGTATCATTTTTTTCATACCGTCATACCTTGCTGACATCATACCGTGGTATACGGTATATGGCGGTATGACTTGGGTCGACTTGAGCGAGGTGGCGTTCGGCGGCAAATAGATGTTTCGAACGGTATATTATATGTTCGGTGTAAAATGCTGCCCGAGCCGGTAGACGCTCGCAAAGTGCCGCGACATGCGCGCAAGTGCAAAACAAGGGCTGCATACATGACACATTGTGCAAATGGCACATTTTGAGATCGGATACAGGACGCGTTTGTAGATGTCCGACGTTGTTTCCATTGTGAGCTAAGTTAACAATATATCATCATACATAAACATTTTCCGGGAGTAAATACTTGACTTATTGAATAAAGTTTGCTATATTCACTAACTAGTTTGGCAATATTATTCCGTGCATGTGTTAAAAACCTTATTTCCATTTGATTCATTGGATTACTCGCGTGAATGTTTAGCACGTTAATGCTTTCGTTTTTAAAACCGTCCGACCTCCACTACAAAACCATCAACCAGTTGCATAGGATTAAAAAATGTCAACACTCACTCACCCCGTCTTAAACATTCCCAAAGAAGTGCCTCTGTCTCTCATTGTGCTGGATGAATTCACTGGCGACGAGTAATCCCAAAATAGGCGCAGAGGCATTTTTCTTTTTTACTAGTTGTCCGAGTTCGGGGCCGGCAAATGCTTCCGCCATCTTGCTCAGCTCAGCTCTGTGCTGAGCTCTGAGAGCGGGAAAGACGGACTGCCCTCCCCTGCCCTCTGCTGGCGCGTGCTGTGCATTACAACCAATGTCGT